CATCCTCTCTTATAGGGTTGTGGGTAAGGACTAAATGATTTGTAAAGACCTTGGTATAGTACCAGCTCAGAGAATGAGGGGAATTTTTTTGGGACAGCCATTATTAACATTATAAATGGGCACATACATATATCCTACAAGTTGATTTTTTCATTTAACTGTTGCTGTTAGAACACTGCCAGTGCATATAGATATGTGGCATTCATTTTCACCATAGAGCCATCTGTGGGTATATACCATTCCCTTTAAAAACTCTTCCCCTGTGGGTGGTTTTTGTTTTAATGTTTTGTAGGATAGATTCTTAGAAGTTTTCTAACTGCTCAGCATGTGGATATATATGTACATTCAGGATGATAGATGTTGCCAGATTGCTTTCCAAAGAGTCATACTAGTTCACCTGCCTGTCAACAGGACATAAATGCCCATTTCCTGACACTTTTGCTAATATTGGATATTCCTTTGATTTTTGCAAATCTAGGGGGAAACAGTAACCACTATCATCTCAATTGTTTTAATTTGTGTTCAGATGATTATCTTTTTGTATTTATTATGCTCATCTTGTTTATTAGCCAGTTGATTTCTGTTGTTTTTATTGTCTTTACTTTTTTGTCTATAGAGTTGTCTTATTAATTTGTAGGCACTCCTAATACATTCTGCATAGTAATCTTTAGTTTGTCTTATAGCTTGATGTTTGTGTTTTAATTCTTTTTATGTTGTCTTTTGTGGTACAGAATTTAAGTTTTTTAAATATAATGCAATCTATCAGTATTTTATGGTTCTAGATTTTATGTTTTGCTTAGGAAGACCTTTTCTATCTGAAGTTATAAAAATATTGCCTATATTTTCTTCCAATATTTTTAGAATGTTCTTTTTAAAAAAACTTTTAGATCTTTAACCATTTGGCATTTATATTTGTTTATATATACATTTTTCCAAATGGAGAGCCATCCATCCCAACAAAATCAGCTTGTTAAATTTTACTTTAAAAATTTTTAAAACCTTGAAATTGCATTGAATTCATAGGATACTTTGGGTCTGGCTTCAGGATTCATTCATATACATAGATGGCACTACAGATTTACCCACTGGATTGGTTCATAGGAGTAGTGAGCTCTATCTACAGTCACGTGGGCTGTGATGATGTCTTTCTGAGTTGTGACATGTTGTGAAACAAATTTGGAATGGAATTTTTATTTTATAGCTATGGGAAGTTCAGTTTTCATGCTATAACTCTCCAGTTCTGTTGTACAAACATTTATTGAATACTGCTCTTACCTAGATACTGTATATACAAATGAGGGATAAAGTGTATTTTCAGTGCCTCTGGAGCTTACAGTGGAATGGGAAAGACAGATATGTAAACAGATGGTTTGTAGTAACTCAGATGATAAATATTTGTACAGGATACGCCTGGAATACTGAAGAATGGCACTCAGTGCAGTGGAAGTATGACTTAGGAGGTCAGGTAAGCGCTCTTGGAGGAGGTAATATGTGACGTGAATCTTAAAGGAATGATAGGAGTTAGCTGGGTGCAGGGTGGCATTTTAGAGAGGGGGTGAGGAGTAATAGAAAGTATGGACCAAGTTCTCGTGAGCAGTTATGACAGTATGAAGTGATACATTTGCCTTTTCTATAAGTATATATATTCTAGAGTCTAAAATGTGGGGTTGGCTAGGGTGCCAGTAGCCCGACTATAGAGGCCCTCGCTGTACACCATGCTAATTTGGTACTTGTACTCCAGGTAGTTGGGAACTATTAAAGATTTGAAGGAGTGGAGGGATGGTGACGAGTACCTTTGCGTGTGACAAAGATCACCTTACGGCACTTTGAAAGATGGATGTGAATGGCTGAGATGGGTGCGGGGAGGCAGTGAGGTGGCTCTTTTGGCAATGATCCAGGCAGGTGAGAGATAGTGGAGGTGAGAAGAAGGAAGGAGAGACACATGAGAAATATTTAGGAAGTAAAATCAGCAGGGCTTGGTGATTATGTTTGGGAAGAGAAAGAGGGAAGAGTCATAGTTAACACCCAGGTAAGAGGCTGGGTGACCGGCTGGGTGATTGGGGATACAGGCAGGGGCTGGGCTTGGATGGGGGTGGACAGTGGGGTGATAAGTCAAAATTTAGGCTTGAGTTTCACTCATCTGTGGGATATACAAGTGTAGATGTCCAGCCGGCAGCTGATTCTGAAGTGCCAGAGAAAGTCTAGACCAGATCCTGATTTGGTGCCGTGAGTATACTGGTAGTTATTGAAACAGTGAGAAGGGGATGTGAGAACCAAGGGAGAGCATATAGATTAGTAAGAAAAGGGAGCCAAAGCCCAAACCTTAGGGGCCATGACATTTAGTGCACAAATAATAGCAGCAATAACTAACATGTAATAAAGGCTTACTATACTTTACATGGGTTGGTTTTAATCCTCACAGCAACATTAGGGATAAAGTAAAATTATTATCCCGTTTTTATAGGAAAAACAGGCCCAGAAAGGTGGTGTACCCACTATCAACACAGTAAGTGGAAGAGGCGGAATGTCTAGCTCCAGAGCCCAAACCCTTAGCTGCTGTGCCCTACTGCCTGGGGAGGAAATAGGTCAAGATGAAGGAGAATGCGGGGAGCTAGGAGAGCACCTCAGAAGACAAGGAGGTAGTGTTTCAAGTAAGGCTCTGTCAGTGAGGAAGCCGAGCAGCCCACCGAGAAGACCAGGAGAAGAGTGGGGTTAGACTTGGTTGGCAGAGACCTCCATAGAGCAGTTGGGTAATGGGGAGACAGCAAGAGTGGACTATTGGGAAAAGTCTGATGAGAAAGGAAGAGAGAAGAATAAGCAGTTAGATAACGCAGGTTTGTTTTTATATATATATCTTGTGTGTGTGTGAGGAAGACTGGCTCTGAGCTAACATCCGCTGCCAATCCTCCTCTTTTTGCTGAGGAGGATTAGCTCTGAGCTAACATCTCTGGCCATCTTCCTTTGTTTTGTACGTGGGATGCCTCCAGAGCATGGCTTGATAAGCGGTGCATAGGTCCGTGCCCAGGATCTGAACCTGTGAACCCCGGACTGCTGAAGCAGAGTGTGCGAACTTAACCACTATGCCACTGGGCCGGCCCCAGGTTTGTTTTTAAACAGTATGAGAAAAAGTCAAGGAAAAGTTGACGATATAGGAGAGTGGGGGGAAATCGATGGAGCAGAGGTCTAGGTAGGAGCATTTAATTTACCACCGTGTACCACCGTCCCCTGGAAGTACTCCCATTCATTTGCTGCCATGTCCCCACATGTCCTTGGCTTTCTTCTGACGTGTATTGAGAAGGCAAATCCTTCTGAATCTCCTTTGGGAACTCTTCTCTGTCCATGCTTGCAAGGATTTCCCCTCAGCTCTTTTCATGCCATAACTCTCCAGGCAATCTCATTCATCTACGTGTTGAAAAATCCCAAATCAATATTCCAGCCTGATATCTCGACCACCCAGGTCCCTCCATCTAATTGATTTCTTGACATCTTTTATATGTCTTACAGTTTCCTCATGTTCAGCATGTCCATGACTAGAATCATCTGGGATTGCTTCAATTGCAAATACCTCCCCTACACCTCTGCCCCAACACACACACACTCTTCTATAGATTTTAGCTTTGGTGTTAGCTCCACCAAAATCTTTCCATAGCCCTTCAAGACTTCCACAGCTCGTTTCTTCCCCATTGTAGTACTTCCTACAGTATACTGCAGCTGCTGTGGATACATCTGTCGTCCTCATCTGAATGTATACTACTAGGGGGCAGGGTTTATGCCTTAGTCACAATTATATTCTCTTTGTCTAATGAAAAAATGTAGGCTATGGAATCAAAAGCATGTAAGGGGTTGACGCCTTGAAAAGGAGGAAAGAACATATTACTCTCTGAGACTGGACTGAAGCAGGTGAGAATAGATGCTTGTCTATACATATTTATAGGTTACACGGCAAATTGATGGGGTTAGGGAAACAATTTTCACAGTAAAGTAGGAGGTAAGATGTTTTACTTAGAATGAGGGTGAGGGCTTAGGTTTGGGGCTTGAAAAGGGCAATGAAGAAATCGTCAGGCTAAAGGGCCAGGTAAGGGAGATGACCTAGAGGAAAGCTATCCACTTAGAGCTAAAGCATGCTGTGGGCCTCTTGCAAATTAATTTCTAACCCACTACTCAAACCATGCCAGATTCTGGATGTCCTTAACACTCACTTCATTTTAGAATGTCTTTCCCATTCGTTGTAGTGACGGGTTTCTTCAGGATGGTTAGGTCTACAAACCAGTATTTTTACCTGTAAGCTATGGAGTTATTCCATTTGCCTATGATAAAAATAGTGGGATTTAAAAACAAAATCCTAGTTTGGGAACTAAAAGATACCATGCGTGTATCCCTCCTTACTTCATCTTATATTTCCCAAATATTTACATGTGAAAAAAAAGACTGAGATAAAACTCTTGTGCTTTATTTTTTTAGAGTGAAAATGCCCATATTTCTTTCAATAATAAAAATAGAAATATGCTTCTTTGAAAGTTTTGTTATGAACATGACTAAGTTGTGAATGTAAAAGTTCATTCTTTACGTTGGCAGATTCTGTTAATAAAATAATGGTAACTTTTCAACAAAAAAATTTTCTAACCCCACTTCTCTTAAACATGTGAGACAGAGCCACTTAAGGGCCCAGTGCTTCACATCAGCCATGTGTAGATACATATGTGTGCGTGTGTATCTATATACCTATATTCCAGGATAAAGTGGAATACCATTTTTACAAGTAGTGGTCACATCTTTATATAATGAAAATCTGGGTCCTGTAATGTTACTGGTAAGTGAAATATTCAAAACTGAGCTTGATGGAAGAATTAGCTGAGAAACACTTGAATGTCTTTTTTGGGGGAGGAGAGTAGTCAGGTACTGAACTCATGTGAAACAAAAGCAGTCCTGTTTGGTCCCGTGGCTGGTCATGCCCCAGGCAGTATGGAGTCTTCTAGTGTATCCTTTGCCATTGAGAACACGCAACTGTTATTGTAAATATACTACCTTTCTAAGACAGCCATACCCTATTTTTTCAAAAGGATCACTAAAGGTGGCTGCAATTTACATTGTGACTATATAGCCTTCTGTAGAAGGCAGCATCTGTTATTAAAGTAGCCCCAGTATTACTCTAGCAGAAGATACTACTACCTCTTAATTCCCTGTACTAGACATAGTCCGTGAGTCTTTTATTATTTTATTAATAATAAATATGTTTGATATCCTATGCTTCAACTGATTTCTCAGATAAGGACTGAAGCAAGTCTTTATAGAGAGCAGAGTTCATGAACCGGGGATATGAGTCTCTGTGCATTAAGGTGTAAATCTGAAGCTGGGCCTCATCGAATATGTGTTGGGATGGCTCCACCATGTTCCTGTTGATGCCTTCTCTTACTCGGGAGTCTAAGCTGACCTGCCAATAGAAACAAGAGCTGTATTAGACACGTTTCTCTTTGGAAATCCATCCCAAACTCCCATAGCTTGTTTTGTTTTTTAAAAATCCCAAACCAAACAAGGTCATCCACAAATCCAAACTGCCCAAAGAGAAACTGAATGCCTCATGAACTGGGGTTCTCAAACTTCAGTGGCATCAGAACCCTGGAAGCCTTGTTAAACAGATTGCTGAGCCCCAGCCACAGAGGTTCTGACTCAGCAGATCTGGGGAGGGGGCCAGATAATTTGTATTACAAGTTCTCGGTAATGCTGGTGAAGATCACACTGCTTTAGAAAACCACAACACTGTTTTGCTTCTTTAAAATGAGTCTACTATGTCCTTTGAAGAAAAAAGGTAGTGTGCATGGACTTACTCCTTGCTAATTTCCTGATAACACTAGGGTGAAAACCTGGAGGTCCCAGGCTGTAGCCAGCTAGAACACACTGGCAGATTTCTGGGACTGAGTGCCAGCCAGGCTGGCTCTTGAGGTGGAAGCTCACTCAGAAGCACCGTGTGCAAGGGTTAAAATCTTGGGGCCTGTGTGTAAATCCCAGCCCTGTCACCGCTTGGTTGTTGGGCCTTAGGCAAAGTAAACTGTGCCCTGATGAACTTCTCCACAGAGTGGGATAGTGAGGGTGGTAGTTGGTGAGGATTTAATGAGAATTTATTTAAAGTGCTTAGAATTCATTAAGTCCCTAGAAGATGTTGGCTGTTCTTACTCTGATGTTTTGCTCATCCTAGACGAGCCTATCTCAGAGCAGAGCAAGCTCCTGGGCTCAGACTTTTCCTATAGGATGCCAGACAAACGAGTACAGGTTGGCACTGCAAAGATGAATTCACACATGTCTTTTGTGGGAAGAGCCCTAGCTGGACTATCTGCACCTGTAGGCCATGACAGTTCTAATGCTATGCAGTGCACATGCTATTGTTTAATATAAAACTGAAAATATGATTAGCTAAATCATTAAATATTGACTTCAGTGACCTATCTTTCCAGATGCGTATATCCACCTTCCTCCTGGAAAGCTCCTTTTGCCTCCCCACAGGTAACTCAAACCTAATATGTTCAAAACAGATTCCCAGCAAACTGGACCACTTTCTTATACCATATACTAAAATATACTCAAAATAGATTAAAGACTTAAATGTAAGACCTGAAAACATAAAACCCTTAGAAGAAAATATAGGTAGTAAACTCATCGGTCTTAGCAATATTTTTTTATCTGTCTCCTCAGGCAAGGGCAACAAAAGCAAAAATAAACAAATGGGACTACATCAAACTAAAAAGCTTCTGCACAGTGAAGGAAACCATGAACAAAACCAAAAGACACCCCACTGAAAGGAAGAAGGTATTTGCAAATCATGTATCTGATAAGGGGTTAGTATCCAAAATGTATAAAGAACTCATACAACTCAATAGCAAAAAAACAATCTGGTTAAAAAAAGGGCAGAGGACCTGAATAGACATTTTTCCAAAGAAGGCATATAGATGGCTAACAGGTACATGAAAAGATGCTAATCATCAGGGAAATGCAAATTAAAACCACAATGAGGTATCACCTCCCCCCTGTCAGAATGACTATTATCAAAAAGACAACAAAAGCCAAGTGTTAATGAGGATGTGGAGAAAAGGGAACCCTCAGGCACTGTTGGTGGGAATGTAAATTGGTGCAGACATTATGGAAAACATTATAGAGGTTCCTCAAAAAATTAAAAAATAGAACTACCATACAGTCCAGCAATTCCACTTCTGGGTATTTATCTGAAGAAAATGAAAACACTAACTCAAAATGCTATCTGCACCCCCATGTTCAGTGCAGCATTATTTACAATAGGAAAGACACGGAAGCAACCTAATTGTCCATCGGTAGATGAATGGATAAAGAAGATGTGGTATATCTATACAATGGACTACTACTCAGCCATGAAAAGAATGAAAACCTGCCATTTGTAACAACACTGATGGACCTTGAGGGCATTATTCTAAGTGAAATAAGTCAGAGAAAGAAGAATACTGTATGATTTCACTTATATGTAGAATCCAGAAAAACAAAACAAACGAACAAACAAAACAAAACAGAAACAGACTCATAGATATAGGAAACAAACTAGTGCTTGCCAGAGCGGAGTGGGTGGGAGGAAGGGCAAAATAGGTGAAGGGGATTGAGAGGTACAAATTTCCAATCATAAAATAAGTCATGGGGATGTAATGCAGAGCACAGGGAATATAGTCAACAATATTCTAATAACTTTGATGACAGATGGTTACTAGTCTTATCAGGGTGGACTTTTTGTAATGTATATAAATGTTGAATCACTATGTTGTACACTTGAAACCAACACAATATTGTATGTCAACTATATTTCAATCAAAAACAAAAACCCAGATTCCCAGCATCTCCAGAGCTCTTTCTTGTATAGCTTGTCAATGAATGGAACTATTTATTCCCACCCAGTTCAGAGTCCCGCTCCTCCCTCATTTTCCCTCTGGCTCTGTATTCAGCCACACAGTCCTGGTGACTCTGCCTCTTGAACACCTCTCGAATCTGTCCACCTCGTCCCTCCTCTCTGCCGTGACCCTGTGGAGGTCACTCAGCATTTCCTGCTGGATTTGTTCACCAGCCTCTTAGCTGGTCTCTGGCTCTCAGTCTAGTGCCTCTCCACACCACTCCATGGCTCGGCCAGAGGGATCTGTCTAAAGTGCAAACCCTGTCCTGACACTCCAGCTTCAGACCCCACCCCCGGCTGGTCGACGCTCTCAGGATCAAGTCGTAGGCCTACAAGTTCCAAGTTTAAACTTCTGAGGCACTTTATGATCTGCTTCCACTAATTCCCCAGCTCTACCTCACTATTCCACTCAAGAATTTAAAGAATTTGGAATTTCACTTGGCATTTAAAGAAAGGAGTTAGGACTAGTTGGTCTTTGCTCCTTCTGTCTAGAATAAGCTTTCCCTCTACTCTCTCTGGCTCAGTCTACTTCTCTTTCAGGTCTTGGTTTAGCTGTCCCTCGCCCGGTCCTGGGAAGCCTTCCCCAACCACCTAGATGGAGGTCAAGTTCCCTCCTTTCTTGGCCCTGTGCTCATCCCTGGGGCAGCAATCACCACTAGGCAATCCTCTCCTGGAAGCTTCTTGAGTATAAGGGTCCTAAGCTGTGCTTAGGAGCACAGCTTCTGCACGAAGAGGGGGACTCAAAACACGTTGGCTGGAGGAGGAAAGCTCCTACTCTTGTTAGAGAATTAGACTAAGAGTTACTGCAGAAAACACTAAAAAATATTCTAGTTCACAAACAGCCCACATGGAACTGTTTCATTCTTTACAGCCTTCATCTGAAGAACATCTCTGCGAGAGCTCGGTGGGGAGGGTGTCTGCTCAGGACGGTGAACGGACACAGAGGGTCGTGGAGAGCAGCCGTCTAGGGAGTGCCGGCTCTGCCAGGCGCCGAGGCAGCGTCTGCACCCATCCTCTCTTCCAGGCCTCCCAAATGTTCAGGCAAGGGGTGTTGTCCCCTTCATACATATGAGGAAACTGAGGTACAGAGAGGTTCAGAAATACACTCAGAGTTATGTAGCTATTAAAGGAGAGAACCAGGGTTCACCAGTTCTCTTTGCTCTTTGCAAAGACTATGCTCTTAAATTTTTCAGGTTTTTACATTTCAGGTAATAGATGCTTGTATTTGGCAGGAAAAGGTCATCTTTTTATATCACTTTTGCTTCACAAATTTGCTAAGAAGTTTTTTGGTTGTATAATGATTTAAAAGACAGGGATGAAAAATCTTGGCTTAAAAAAAAAGGAAAATCATGACAAAATAAAAATATGTGGAAGCCACAAATTAAAGGACAAAAATTGTCTTGGGGCCAGCCTGGTGGCACAGCGGTTAGGTGCGCATGCTCCGCTTCGGTGGCCCGGGGTTCGCAGGTTCCGATCCCAGGCGTGCACTGATGCACCGCTTGTCAGGCCATCCTGTGGCGGCGTCCCATATAAAGTAGAGGAAGATGGGCACAGGTGTTAGCTCAGGGCCACTCTTCCTCAAGAAAAAAAGGGGAGGATTGGCATCGGATCTTAGCTCAGGGCTGGTCCTCCTCACAAAAAAAAAAAAAAAAAAAAAAAATTCTCTTGCTTTTTGTTAATCCAAAATGGAAATAAATTTCTGAACCCTATATTCGTACATGTCAACTGAATCCTCCCACTTCACAATGCAAACCTAAGTAAGCAAATTGAGCCCCACTGCCTGTCTCCCGAGCACGCTCCCCACCCTGTCAGTGAACTACGCCACCATCTGGTCTGCCCAAACCAGACATGCAGGCGTCACTGGAGACTCGGACTGACCTCAGATCCAATCCTTCCTCTCTGGTATCTCTTCAGCTGGCCTGGTGAGGCCCTTATCACGTCCACTTTGGACAACTGACTTAGTCCTTCTGCCTCTAGTCTTCTAGACTGCATTCTGTAGCCATACTGGTCTTTCAAAAATCCAAATTTGATGATACTACCAGGCTAAAATCCAAGAGCTTCCCAGGATAAAAATCAGAAAACCTCAGCATGGCTCCCAAACCTCCTGATGCTCTCGGACCATCCCCTTTTCTAAACCCTCCTCCTGCTGCCTGCCATCAGCCCTAATAGTTCGGAAAACACCCCACCCTGCAGCCACACCAAACCACTGATGCTCTCGCTGTCCACCTGCCTGCATGCTTTTATCCTTGTCCCATCTACTCCTATCCTCTGGGATGTCTTCCTCCCATTGTGTTTCTGGTAATTTCCTTTCATTACCCTTGGTCCATCTATGGCCTCTCCCTCATTCCTGCCCACCCCAGTGTTGATGGCTCACTCCACCAGCCCATCAGCACCCTGAGGCAGCTCACCAGGGGCTCCATGTGTGTTTGCCCCTGTCTCCCGTGAGTTCCCTGACAGGAGAGGCGCTATGGTACTAACTTTATATTCTTAGCCACACAGTAGGAAATAATGCATGATTTTATAATTAGAGCTACGAGGCACTTAGTTTTGAGACCAACTTAACCTCCTAGATTTTAGATTTCAAAGCACACAAAACTCTGAGAGATGGAAGCTTGCTTGATTTCACCCATCTGATAATTTCTCTGATATAAAAAAAGGACACCCTCGGGGAACCTTTGCAGCATCCATGATGCTATTCCTATCTAAAATAAAGATACCTGTAAAAAAGATTTTGCTCAGAATAAAAGGATAATTTTATTTAAAGAAATGCTTATAGGGTGTGACATTTTTAATCAGTGTTAACAGTAGAATGCATAGACGACTCCTGGAGAATCTGATGAAAGTTCTGGACACTTTTTCCAGAAAAATACACAAAATCTCTCACAGATTTTAGGGGCACTTGGGGCCCATTGGTGGGACCATGGTCAAAGGGATTTGAATATTATGACTAGTGTGGAGTCATTTCCCCTATTTTGGAGCAGCTGGAACTATGCCAGGTGAACAGGACTGAACACTGAAGGTGTTCATTTTACCAGTGGCCTCCTGGGAGAAGATCTTCTGGTGGGTACATACCTCTTTAGGAGAAAGAATAGAAATGTAGTCTTCATAGATTATCCTGGCTTTCTCTTCAATACTGTTTTTGTTAGCTTCTTTTTTCAGTTCCTCACACGCCATCCAGAAAAGCATGTTTTCTTCACTGAATTCTGTTCGGAGGAATTCGCGGAAAGCGTTCCTGCCCGCCGGAGTGAGCATGAGCTTGTCGAAGGACTGTGCCCAGGCGCTGGCTTCCTCCAGAGTGGGACTTGGGCTTGGTGGGGACCAAGAGAACCGGGCGAAAGGGAACACTGTCATTGGTAGTTAATCTGAATTTCATCACAAGAAACATATCTTTTTCCCCTCTGAGAATGAAAATGCGCACGTAGGCCCATTTAGGAAAGGAAAGAGCTGTTCTCACTTCCTTAAGGCTTTGGCAGAAACACAGAGTATGATACTTGCAACCTAGCCAGCTGGACTGCACGGCTACTGCCAAAATGCTTGCAAACGAAATGGCTAGAATAATTGCTAAGAACACACTCGTTTACATCTAGGCACATCCTGGCAAGGTATTTAAATTATAAAAGTAAAGAAAAATCCTACAACCACCTGACCAAAACCTTCCAGTCACCTGTGACAGACCTCAGTCAGACCTGACCACAGTAACCTCCAGGACAGCAACGGGGCAGTGTCTGGTTAGTGTTTTTTAAACTTCTGTAATATTTGAGAAAGAGAAAAGAATATGTTATATAAATGCTAGTTATGAAGGCTGACGACAAAACAAGCCCTTATGAATTCACCAGTTCCCTTTAGAACCAGGCCACCACCTGCCTTCAGCTCGGTGCTGCGTCCACACGCTGCCCTCCTAACCCCATCCCTGAGGGAGCCCTGGACTTGATGTGGGGCTCACCTTTTTCCATTTATTTTTTATTTTAATTGTATTGAGGTCAGAAAACACAGTCTAATAATGATCCTCACCATCTCTTTTCTCTTACTCTGTTTTTCCCTTTTCCCTTACGTATGTATGTAACCCTGAAGAATGTACTCTCTAGTTTTTTTTTTTTAACTTTATAAAATTGGCTTATTAGATGTTGTCCTCTGCAACTTGCTTTTTTCACCCCACACTAAGGGTCTGAGATTCATCCATGTTGTGTGCGGCCAGAGTTCCTGAGGAGGATCATCTCTAGTTTTCCATTCTTGTACCATCCTCAGCTGGCTTTGGTATCACTGTTACATTGGCCTCTTAGACATTGGGGTGCTTACACAAGACTTCTGTAACCTTCGAATGATCCATTCCTGGAATGTTTTGTGGAACTAACCTGTAAAACCAATGGGATCCAGTGTTTATTTTGTAGGAAGGGTTGAGTTTTTTTATGGGTTGAATTGTGTTCTCTAAAAAAGATATGTTGAAGTCCTAACACCCAGTACCTCAGGATGTGACCTTATTTGGAATCAGGGCCTTTGCAGATTTAACCAAGTTAAGATGAGGTCATTAGGGTGAGCCCTAATCCAACATGACTGCTGTTCTTATAAAAAGGGGAATTTGGACACAGAGACAGATACATGGGGAAAAGACAGTCACGTGACTGACATGATGTAGCTACAAGTCAAGGAATGCTAAGGACTGTTGGCAGCTATCGGAAGCTAGAAGAGCAAGGAAGGATTCTCCCCTAGAGCCATCAGAGTGAGGCTCTGCTGACACCTTGATTTTGGACTTCTGGCCTCAAAAGAATACAATTTAAAAAATTAAGAAAAAAAATACAGAGGGATCCTATATCATTTGCCCAGTTTCCTCCGCTGTAACCTACTGCAGAACTATAGCACAACTTCACAGTATTCCTGGACATTTTTTTTTTTTTTTTAAAGATTTTATTTATTTATTTTTCCCCCAAAGCCCCAGTACATAGTTGTCTGTCATAGCTGCACATCCTTCTAGTTGCTGTATGTGGGACGCGGCCTCAGCATGGCTGGAGGAGTGGTGCCTCGGTGCGCACCCGGGATCCGAACCCAGGCCGCCGGCAGCGGAGCGCACGCACTTAACCACTAAGCCACGGGGCCGGCCCTGGACATTTTTGATAGTTGAATTCTGCTTATCCATTTTTGTGACTTCATCTTTAAGTGGGCTAAACATTTCAGAGACCATTTTATTTTCTATTATCTTATATTTTATTACATTTTATGTTTCATATTTTTATTACAGATAATTCTAACATCTGAAGTCCTTTGGGTTCGAAATCTGAATGTTGTTTCTAGTGACTCTCATCTGTAGTGAGTTGTTTGCTTTTAGTTTCGTAATTTTTGGTTGGTCTTAATCTTTGGGAAACTGAGAGTCAAAACTGAGGCTGTGTTCTTTCCTGTAGAGAGGACGTGTGTTTGCCTCCTCTGAGGTCTAGGAGTTCCTGACCCAGGGCCACTCCAGCGCGACCCCTTGCCCCGCATCCACTTGGCCTGCAGCCATTATCCATCAGCACCTGCCCTTAGAGACAACCCCTCTTTCCTGTGCCCAGCAGTCTCCACTTAGGGTTTTGGTTTTCAGGTACTTCATCATTTTCCTTATTTTCTGTGAGCCCAGTAATGCAAAACCTTTTAGATTTACGCAAAATCTGTTGTTCTGCATTGGGAAGGCCCTCAGATCATCTACCCTGGCACACTGCCAAAAGCTCTCTATTTAGTTTTGAGAGGGAAGGAATGTATACCCAACAATTTGATATGTAGCTAACTTGTCCTAATTATATGACGGTCATAGAAAAAACTCTCTCACATATACAAAGCCTCACAATGTAAATTCTACGTCCTTTTCTTGAAATCGTATCTTGAAAATGTATTATAACTGAACCAGCAGTGAAACGTAAGGGAAAATTTCAAGAGCAGAGAAAGTAGGTTACAGAGAAAGAGTAGTCAGCAGAGAAAACAATTAAACAGAGATGTTTAAATAATGGTTTCAAAATTAGCTTCCAAGTGTGTAGGTGGGTGCCATTTCGGTATAGCCATGCGCAAATGCATAGGAAATTCCTTTAAGGAGATATAAAAAAAATTGTTGATTGGAGTTATATCTGGAGGTGGGGATGAGGTCTGGAATAAGATGAGAAAGACTGAGTTTTTATTGTAAAACTTTCGTATTGGTTTGGCTTTTTGTTTTTATAGTGGGCATATGAGCTTTTCATCATGAACAAAGTATTCCATATGAAAACATAGTCTCTATCATAGCTAGGAAAATTAGTTTTGAAAAAAATGTTTTAAAAGATGTTTAAAAGATAATTTAAAAATAATAACAAAGTAATCTACATAAAAATCCTGGATTATTTTTAGAAAGGTTAATTAAATTGGTGAGACTTAGTTAAAGTATACTAAATTATATTCCTTAAATATGAGGACTTAAAAAATACCTTTTTACTTCTATCAGTTTAAGAAATATATATTAAAGAATGATTTTGAAAAACTTAAAGGTAATCAGTAGTAATTTTTTTAAAAAGGGGGAGAATATATGCTTTCCACAGTACTGAAGAACCTAAAAGTAAAGAAAGCACAGTTCATATAGCAAAAAAAGCAATAATTAGGAGGTATTACAAGCAGACAATCAAAGAATATGCTAGAAGATTAAATATATCAGTAATGATCACAATAACTGACCCAATGTAACTGGATTCTAATTCTCTATTTAAAGATAGAGACTCAAACAGAGCCAAAATACCAAAATCCAACATAATGCAATTTGGGGAAATATACAAAATATTACCAAAAACTAAAAACAAGTAGACAGGCAAAAATATATGAGGCAAATACAAATAAGAATAAAATGTTAATATCTAAGTAGATCTGGAAGTAAAAGGCATTAAATTGGATAAAGAGTCATTTGATGTTATGAATCCAATGTGACTGGAATGAATAATGGCCAGCATACATTGAACACTTGCCTCTTGCCAGGCTCTATTCTCAGTGCTTTACTGGCCGTACTCAGTTCTCACAACAGCCCTCCTCTGGCTTAGCCACCACACACTATTATTATCCCCATTTTACACATAAGGAAACTGAGGCAGAATGTGGCTACCCAGGAAAGCAGGATGGGTAGAGCCGCCAGCACTAGCTGTAGGCATTCTGGTTCCAGATGTGACAGTCTCAAAGCCTTGGTCCAGAATCCAGAATCCAGAATCCTGTCAGCACCTGCCCTTAGAGAAAAGCCCTCTTTCCTGCGCTGAGCAGTCTCTACTCAGGGTTTTGGTTTTTTCAGGTACTTTGTCATTTTCCTTACTTTCTGTGAGCCCAGCAATGAAAAACTTTTAGATTTATGCAAAATCTGTAATTTTTAAGATGAAAGCTGTTAACAAATTCCTATATTGTGGAAGATTTTAATATGCTTCCCAGACTGAAAAATCTGGGTAAGGATAGATAAGATAAAGAATGAAGAAAAATTGGGCTGGCCCCATGGCTCAGCAGTTAAGTGCATGCGCTCCGCTGCTGGCGGCCCGGGTTCGGATCCCGGGCGCGCACCGACGCACCACTTCTCCGGCCATGCTGAGGCCGTGTCCCACATACAGCAACTAGAAGGATGTGCAACTATGACATACAACTATCTACTGGGGCTTTGGGGGAAAAATAAATAAATAAAAATTAAAAAAAAAAAAAGAATGAAGAAAAATATTTAAGTAACCTTTGGGCTTCTTGTTTTTTTCCCCTCAAAAATAAGCAATTTAATACAAGATCTATTTGAACAATGCTTTTAGAATATTTGTCTAGTATCTGCAATTACATAGGCATAATACCAAGGAAAGGTGTAGGAATAGTTAAGTGAAAGTAAATCAGTTGATAATATATGAAGAAAAAAATTTTTTTAAATTTGGCATTATGGAAAGTCATTTATGTGTTGTTTTTTTTTCAACTTTTTCTCAGAATACTTAAACTTAAAAAATAATACATTAGCTAAAGTATAAGTTTATAATTAAGAAAAAATGGACTTGTAAAACTTTCGTGAAAACCAAACGTGTTTCTTTATGGTCTTTTATTTTAAAAAGCATATCATGTAAAAATAAAATAATGTCACATGTTTTGTCAGGAAGCATCAATTTTTATTTGTGATTAGCAGGGATGAGATTAATAATAGAACTGATTTTTCTCCCTGTCACCCAATGAATTAAAAGGACTTCTTCAGGGTGAAAATGTGATGCCTTGATTTGATCAAATATGATTTGATATTAGTAAATTGCAGTTAGAGAAATTGTGTGTTCTGTTGAAACATATAATACAAAAAGCATCACACTAATAAAACTGACATTCTGTCACTTTAGTGAGCTACACAACACGAGATTTTACCTTTCTTCACAGGTTGGAAGGTCTTCTCTTCTGAGTTCATAGGAAGCCCTCCTGGATCTCTGTTCTTCTTGGTTTCTAACAGTGAGACTGCATGAGACAAGACATTTACACATCAGCTGAGATCATTCTGTATCAAAGAAAGATTTCTTACAAATATTTTAAAGAGAACTCCAGATTACTGAGTAGAATTTCTTCCTTTTCTTGAAAAAAATGACCCTGATTGGTTTTCTTAAGAAAACCAAAAGCAGGACAATAAAGTATTAGCAAAATAAATTGTATCTATAATGTTGTGGTCTACACTAATTGAGGGAGAGTTAAAATTATTATTCAATTACAATTAGAATAATAATTCTTTTCATGAAAATATATCCACTAGAAAGTAGTAAAAAAGTAAGTTTATCAGGAATGTTTTAGGTTTTCATTTCATAGCCTGCATCTTGAAAAAAAGTATACATTCTCCAGACTTTGTTTCCAGTCAAAATGGAGGTTTTATACATTTGTAGGAACACATACAAAAGTATTAAAGAAAACCAGGAACGTGTACAGTCAAAATCTGCTACAGCCAGGTGTCCCTTAACCATGTGGATACGTTCTGAGGAAATGTGGTGTTAGGTGATTTCGTCATCATATGAATATCATAGAGTGTATTTACACAAACCTAGATGGTATAGCCTACTACACACCTAGACCGTATGGTACTAATCTTACGGGACCATGGTTGTATATACGGTCTGTCGTTGACAGAAACATCATTAGGCAGCTCGTGACTGTATTGTATCTTTCGTGGGTGTTCAAGTTTGCTTATACACATTTTGTACATTTCTTTGTGAATTTATTCCAAGTATTTTTGTTGTTATTGTAAATGGAATTTTCACTTACATATCTAACTGGTTATTGTTTATACATATGAAGGCTATTACTTTCTTAATAGCTTTATTGAGCTATAATTTATATATCATAAAGTTACCCATTTAATGTATACAATCCACTGGTTTTTAGCATAATCACAAGGGTGTACAACCATTCCTACTATCTAATTTCAGAACATTTTCATCACCCCCAAAAGAAGCCCAATACCTCTTAGCAGTCACTCCTCTTTACCACCTATCTCCCACCTCCACTAGCCCTAGACATACACTAATCTACTTCCTGTCTCTATAGATTTGCCTATCCTGAATTATACAGTATGTGGTCTTTTGTGGCTGGCTTCCTTCACATGGTATAATGTTTTTAAGGTTCACCCATGTTGTAGCATGTATCAGTACTTCATTCCTTTTTGTGGCAGAGTAATATTCACTGTATGGATATACCACGTGTTGTTATCCATTCATCAGTTGATGGACATTCAGGCTGTTTGCACTTTTTGGCTATTTTGAATAATTTGACTATGAACGGACATGTACAAGTTTTTGTGTGCATGTTTGTTTTTATTTCTCTTGGGGGTAGATACCTAGGAGTGCAAATGCTGTTATATAGTAACTCTATTTTTAACACTTTCAGGAAGTCCCAAACTGTTTTCCAAAGCAGTTGCACCATTTTACATTCCCACCAGCAATGTTGGAGGAACTTAATTTCTCCACTTGTTGCCAACATTTGTTATCGTCTTTTTTGTTCTGGCCATTTAAGCAGGTATGAAGTGGTATCATATTGTGATTTTGATTTGCATTTTGCTAATGACTAACAACAATGAGCATCTTTTCATGTATTTATTGGCTATTTGTACATCTTCTTTGGAGACATGTCTATTCAGATCCTCTGCCCATTTTTTAAATTGGCTTGTCTTTTTATTTTTGAATTGTAAGAGTTATTTACCTTCTGAAGGCTATTATTTTTTACATTAATTTTGTATCTTTCTTCTTCACTGAATTCTTTTGTGTTTGCATCAGTGTAGCAACAATTCTCTGGGGTTTCCAGGTGTACTACCCTCATATTGTCTGCAAATAGGGCGTTTTCCCTCTTCCTTTCCCGTTCTTAGGCCTCAGATTGTTTTCTCCTGTCTAACTGCATCAACTGATACCTAAAATACAAGGTTAACTAGGAGTGGAGATATGGACATCCTTGCCTTGTTCTTGATTTTAGCAGGAACGCTTTTAGTTTCCCATTAATATCAAAATGGATTTTTATCATTATTTGAGTTTGTTTTATCTTACTACTGCTACTGTTTTATCTTTCCTATTCCTTTTATTATATCTTTCCATAACACTCTACACCATTTTATAAGTCTTTCAGCCTATTTTCACTACATCTGCTGATGAATTTTTAGTAACTGTGTGTGTAGCTATTTTTCTTTAAATGCAGTCATTAGACGTGCAGGAACTCTTTTGACTTGTTGCTTTCATGATGCCAGAGCTAAAAAGCTTCAGTAAATAATGGTTTCTTAAAACAAAAACACACTTGAGAGGCACGGGGGTGGTGTTCTTTCTGTAGGAGCATTAACACTGCCTGACTTCCGCAGCTTCTGTTGTAAGCAGAAACCATTACTACACAGTGGGTATGAAAAAGCAAAGAGACAAAGAAAGGAGGAATTTGACACACAATTCCCAAGAGAACTGGAAGTTACACTGCGAACTAAATAATGCAATATTTATTTAAGCTTTGACATTTTTTCCATGTCTCATTTTTTAAAAAGTCGGAATGTTTCTTAAGGAGACAATGTGTTCTTGAAAAAGTGAAGAATATATTTTGTGTCAATTTTTTTTAAGCTTGTTCTTATAGTAGAACAAGAAAATGTCAACAGAAGCCAAAATAGTTGCTCACAACGTTTTAGAACTATTCAGTAAAAGGAGACTCACGATTAGACATATTTTGGTAAATTTCTGAGTTATAAAGAGGAAAAAATTCTTCAACCTGCCAGAAAGGGAAAAAAAAGTTTATTTTCAAGAGATCAAGAATCTGCGTGACTTCTTTCATAAAATGGAACGCCAGAAGGTCATGAAGCAGAATTTTGAGAAAGATAATACCAGGGCTTAGAAAACATTTACCTTTCTTGAAAATCGACTTTACTATGTATTATCAACATGGATGAATCTCAAAAGCATGTTGAGAAAAAAAATCAAGGAAATTAAATATTGAAACAGTTGAAGTTTGCTGTGTACTTTTTTCCATCCCATTTTCCCCTCTTTCTACCCCAGAGATAACAATAGTCCTTAATTGTTGTTTATCATTACCATTCATAGTTAAGCTACTTTTTTTCTATATGTATAAACCTATAAATATAAATATATTTTCAAACTCTGTATAAACGTCATTATACAATATACATTGCTTTATAATGTGCTCTTTTTCTCTAGCACGTGAATGTAAATGCTGTATGGGACTGCGTTGTATAACTATACTACAGTCTATTTATCCATTCTCCTGTTCATCAACCTCAGAGACATTTTCAGTTTTTCTTAATCAGATTAATGCTGTGAATCCTTTCATACACGTCTCCTTTTGCAGGTGTGTGAGAGGTTTTTCTAGGGGACGGTGTTATATTTAGAAGGGTATGTATTTAACTTTCTTATATCGGATCCTTGTTAGCAGGAGCACAAGTGGATTCTCTTTTCTGCTGCATTTCATTTTCTTACTTTCCTTTTGGTCATTATTTCCTTATTAATCTCCTGAAGTTCTTTATATATTCTAGATTTGAATTTTTTTGTTTGTTAAATGCACTGTAACTACCTTCTTCCAGTATGTTTTATCTTTTCATTTTATTTCTGATATCTTTTGTTAAACACATTTTAAAAGCAGCTTTATTAAGATATATTTCACACACCATACAAGTCACAAATTTAAACGGTACAAATCAATGGTTTTTAGTATATTTATACAGTTGTGCAAACATCACCATGATTTTAGAACATTTCATCGCTCCAAAAAGAAACTGTACACATTAGCAGTCATTCCTGTTTCCCCCCTCCCTAGGCAACCACTATTCTACTTTCTGTCTCTATGGATTTACCTATTATGTACAGTTCACATAAATGGAATTGTAAAATATGTGGTCTTTTGTATCTGGCTTCTTTCACTTACAAGAACATTTTCAAGGTTCATCCACGTTTTAGCAGTATCAGTACTGCATTCCTTTCTATGGTAGGATAATATTCCATTGTACGGATATACCACAATTTGTTTATCCATTCATCAGTTGATGGACATTTGGGTTGTTTCTACTTTTTGGCTACTCTGAATCATGCTGCTAAGCATATTTATGTGCAAGTCTTTGTGTGGACATACGTTTTTATCTCTCTTGTTGAACACACTTTTATATATATATATATATATATAATTTTTTTTTTTTTTGGTGAGGAAGATTAGCCCTGAGCTAACATCTGTTGCCAATCCTCCTCCTTTTTTGCTGAGGAAGACTGGCCCTGGGCTAACATCCATGCCCATCTTCCTTTACTTTACATGGGAAGCCACCACAGCATGGCTTGATAAGCGGTGTGTAGGTCCGCACCCAGGATCGAAACCTGCAAACCCCTGGGCCACCAAAGCAGAGTGTGTGAACTTAACCACTATGCCACTGGGCCGGCCCCCATTTTTATATTTTAATTTAGCCAAATTTATGAATCTTCTCCTTTTATAGATTTTGCTTTTATTTTTAAAAGTAATTCTTCCCAATGTCAAGATCATAAAGATACTATCCTGTATTTTCTTCTTGGCTATTCACATTCACGCCTTTAAGCCATCTGCAATTGATCTTGTTTTTTCTGGTGGGGGGAGATTGGTTTTTATATATGGTGCCAGGTAGGAATATAAATCTATTTTTATGGATTTGGATGATCAATCTTCCTGGTTTTCCTGGGACTCACAGGTTTTCTGGGATATGGGTTTTCAATGCTAAAACCAAGGAAGTCTCAGGCCACTGGGATGAGCTGGGCACCATAATATCCTGGTATTTATAGAATAGTTCATTCTCTTTGCTGATGCCACCTTTGTCATATGCTGATAAAGTTTTCTATATAGATTTTTTTAAAGGTTTTTTTTTAAATTTTATTTATTTATTTTTTCCCCCAAAGCCCCAGTAGATAGTTGTATGTCATAGATGCACATCCTTCTAGTTGCTGTACGTGGGACGCGGCCTCAGCATGGCTGGAGAAGCGGTGCGTCGGTGCGCGCCTGGGATCCGAACCCGGGCCGCCAGCAGCGGAGCGCGCGCACTTAACCACTAAGCCACGGGGCCGGCCCTCTATATAGATTTTATTGTCTTCCATTGATGTGGAAACTGTATGTTGTATTTATGGACTAATCATGAATATCATTAATTTTGAAAGAAAATGTTACCTATAATTTTTTTCTAAGAAAGTCTGAAGTTGTTTGATTTATCCATCATTAACATGAGATTATTTGTTTACAGCTTTGAAATTCAATACCATATTTTACAGCTATATTTGATTCCTTCTTGTGTCCATCACTGTTACTTGTTTCCCATGACTACACTCTGGGTTCACTTTTTTTTTCCTGAAGTGCATCCTTTCTTAGTTCTTTTAGGGAGAGTCTGAAGGTAGTTAATTCTCTTGGCCTTTGTAGGTCTGAAAATGTCTAATTTTACCCAACCTCTGAATTACAGTTGGAGTAGGTTTTCAGTTACTTTGCTCCAGTACTTTGAAGACACTGTTCTATTGTCTTTTATATACACACATTATACGTGCTATGTAAGTGTTGGCTGTGACGATGATGTCTAGGTATAGATTCATATTTTATTTGCCCTAGTTGGTGCCAGTAGGAGAAGCCTGCTCTGGGACCAGCCACCACTATCCACCATCAGTCCCATACATTGGTCAGGCCAGATATCAGCCTCCTGTGCCTTCCAAGGCAGCAGAGAAGGGAGGGGGATGCAGTAAAGGCCAGCTGGGAGTCTCACATCTGCACATCTCTCAGACAGTCATCCCCAGTCATCTCACTGAGATTGATTAGCAGAGTGGAAAAGGGGCCTAAACATAGTCTCCTCACCATTGGTGGGTATCCTCCCTATCTAGGGTAGGTCCTGGGTACCCCTATGTGTAGGGTGTGCCAACATGTGCCTCTCCTCTGGTTTCCGGAGTCCTCTAGATTCCTACACAGGGCTGAATGAAGTCTCGCCTTCAATGCCAGACTGCTTAGCTCTTGTCAGCCCCGTCTCCCCCATATCCCCACTTGCTGTCTGAGGTTCTGTCTTGAATGGACAGACCACCCAGCATCATGATTCCATCAGTCTTTGGAGTGTCCTATTGCTGGGCCCCACCCACCAGCTTGGAACTTCTTGGAAATTAACGATAGCTCAAGTCAAGCAGGAGGAAACCAAAGTTTCCTGGACATTTCATTTTCAACCTCCAGCCCCCCCCCCCCCAATTCTAATGTCACTGTTTTTGATCAGTCCAAATATCAGTTTTCCTTCTTCTCCACTGGATAGTGAGGTCTTGGTCCAACCTGTAGTCAAGCTGACATAAATTTACAATAATTTAACTGCGTAAAGTTACGCACACATTTGGCTGCACCAAGCACTTTTCATATTCAAGATTCCAGAAATGCACCTCATGTTCCTATAATTTCTAGGTGTAAATCATAAACATTTCTCCAGACCTTTAACAGTTACTCAGATGGTCAAGGATGTTTTACATTCAAGTGGTACATCTATTTAAGCAATGATTGTGTATCTTCCTCTACTACTAAGTTAGCCTATTTTTTTATATTTTTCTCTGTTAAGCAAATATTTTGACATTTTTCTTTATTAAAAAACAAAATTAATAAAACAGCAGCAGCAGAAGATAAAATCCAGGCTCTCTCTACTTCATAACCATACCCTTTAAGACCCATCTTAAAATCTAACTCTTTCTCAAAGCCTTTATTACCAACTAGAGAGCCTTGAGTCCACCCCTTTCTAACCATTCAGTCATTGTTTCTGCCCAAATATTAATATTCGATCATCAACTGCCTTAGATCGCTCTGTGGTTGTTTAACATACATTCGCCTGATTTCAGGGACTGCACTGTGAGTCCCTCAAGAGCTGGGATGAGGCCTCTTCTTGTTTTTTTGGTTGTTGTCCTTCACAGAACCCAAATCAGTGTCAGGCATATAGCAGTTGTTTAAAACATACTGACAGAATTCATCATAAGCTGGCACTATTCAGGGGTACCACTTCCCAGTCAGGGCTGTGTGAATACACAGCCCCAGCCTTACCAAGAACAGCTGCAGCAGCAGCACCAGCAGAAGCAGCAAGCATTGGGCCCTCGGGTCCCCACGCCGTGCTGGCCGGGGGTGGGGCCCGCTGTCCCCTGGGCTGCAGGCATCTGCCGCTTCTGCATCTCCGTCCGTTCCGATCCCATCGGCTGCAACAGGGCAAGTCAGAGGGGCGGGGGCAGAGTCACCACCACAGGAACCCAGAAATTCAGTTGTTTGCATCGTTGAGAAGATGCAATGTGACTATACCCAGGTCATTCTTGTTAATTCTGGTAAAATTTGGTGCTTTGAATCCATTAATTTATCAAACATTTATTTAATGCCTAGCATCTGCAAGCACTATGATAAATTCTAGGAGTAAAATGACAAAAAGAGGGTCCCTGCCCTAAGGCGCTCACAGGTCAGTAAAGGAGACAGACAAACACAGACATCACACATTTAAGACGGCGCGGTAAGGGCTACAACAGGGGCATTTCGCAGCTCCAGAGTTCCCTCTGGGCTGAACCAACGGGGAGCAGTTATAGGTGACAGCTGAATGACGGCAGTCCATGAGGCAGGGGCACAGACATGGGGGGCACCACGCCAAAAAGGTCAGGCATGCTGACACAGCAGTAAGAGGAAATGTTCGGAAGACAGAAGTCCTGGGGGCCGCCCAGTTCTGAGGCCCAATGACAGATCTAATCTTTACCAGCTGCCAAACCCTGAAGAAGGTACCCAACTCAGGTATGTGCAAAGCGCTTAGAACTCCGCCTAGTACACAGTGTTGCTCAATTATTCCCAGGACGTGGGGCAGGACTGTGGCCTGTGGCCTGCCAGCTGCCGGGACAGCCACCCCAGCCTATCTCAGCGGGAAGCAAGCCATTGGAAACAAGGCTATGCCTCCAACCCGCTCCTTTCTCTGAGGACTCCATGAATGGCCGAAGGAGAGAGGCCTAGAAGCAGCATGAGAAACAAGAAATTGCTGAGTCCACTTCTACTTTTGATACTACTGTTGAATGTTGGTGGAGTAAAAGCAAAAAAACATCAAAGCCACAATAAAGAATCTTAAATCAGACTTTGGAAGTAAATTCTGGATTTGTTATTCTATTCTAACATTAGATTCATCTCTTCCTACTATTACCAATTCTTATATGCTATTGGACTTGGTTTTAATTATTATAGTTTTATTATGTGTTTTCATATTGGGTAGGTCAAGTTCTCATCATGAATTAAAAAAAAGGTTTTTTTGGCTGTTCTTGCCTGTTTTTTCTTCCTGTTGAATTTTGGAATCAGCTTGCCAACCCATGTTGGGATTTTGATTAGGCCCACATTGAATTTATACGAAATATGTATGAGAAATGACATCTGTTTTAGTATCTGCCTAATCAGGAATGACTCCTCTGGACTGGCCCTTATCTTTTAATTATACCGGATGTAAGTTCCAGGATAGCAAGGGGTACATGTCAAAGGGTTTTACTGTTTCTTCAGCCACAGCCAAAACGACACTCACAACCCCTGTCCACATGGCCTGAGCAGTCCAGGCCTCCTGAGCTGGGCTGGCTCACCTGGTCAAAGGGTGGAGGCAGAGACAACTGCCCAACTCACAGCCACGTTTTCTGGGCACCTTGGGAGACAGACCCCCTTTAACGCCCCTGGGGGAGAGACGCTGGGCTCCTTGGGCATCACATTCTCACCACATCTGCAGCATTTCAATGGAGACAGAGACTGAGGATGGTTTCACTTCATTCAGGACACTGAGTGGCAAGGACAAGCCAGCACAATCTCCAAACAAAGATGCTCTGAGCTAAAGATGTTCCAGGGAACTGTTATTTTCTAAGAGATATTGATGCAACTTGCCTCATTAAAAAAAGAAATCCCAAGCGAGCCCTGATGGCCTAGTGGTTAAAGTTTGGCATGTTCCACTTTGGCAGGGTGGGTTCAGTTCCTGGGCGTGGAAACACACCACCAGCCTTTCAGTAGCCATGCTGTGGTGGCAGCTCACATAGAAGAAGTAGAAGGACCTATAACTAGAATATATAACTGTGTACTGGGGCTTTGGGGAGGGAAAAAAAAAAAAGAAAAAGAAGATTGACAACGGACGTTAGCTCAGGGTGAATCTTTCCCAGCAAAAAATAAAAAAATAAATCCCAATTGCTTCTCAAAAGAAGGAAAGATTGTAACACGGTAATGTCAACAGGTTTTAAGGGACTGTTTCAACATCCTTGCAACAGTGGGTCTTCCCAATCAGTACATGAAATATTTATTCATTTAAATCCTCTCTTATGTATAGTTTAAGAGTTTTCCTCCAACAGGTCTTGCATATTTTTGGTAGGCTTATTCCCGAATATTTTATAGATCAATTTTTGCTGCTGTTGTAAACTCCTCCCTCCCACTGTGTTTCTAAATAGTTATTTTGGAGTATAGGAAGCCTAAGGATACTATATCTGGCCTCTCTATTGAATACTCTTATTAGTTCTAGAAGTCTCTCTCTTGATTCTCTTGGGTTTTCTAGTTAGATGATCACACTGTCTATAAATAATCACACTTGTCTGTTTACATTCCATACTTTTCCAAGGTATAAACACCTTTCCGCTCCTTGGTCTTATTTCATTGGCCAGGAAGTTCAGTAAATACTGAAAAGCAGAAATACTATCAGGCACCTTTGTCTTCTTTATGACTTTAATGAGAAGACTGATAATACTTTGGCCGTATGTATGATGTGTGTTGGAGGTTTCCGGGAGAAGGCAACTTGACCGAGCTAAGCAAGCTTTCTTCTATTATTTACAGAGTATAAAATAAGTTGTGCCAGCTATCTTATTAGTTAACATATTTTATTTGTTTGTATGCACCTATTTCTTTGTAAATACCTGGAGGAATCTTAATGATTTAGTGAGCCAACTCTTACAGAACATCATAAGGTTGCTCATGACTAAATATAGCCTTCAGAAATCAAAGGCAAATTCCATCAGTCTGTTCTTATACATTTTTGAAAACAGCTTTATTGAGGTCTCACAGACATATAATAAACTGCACATGTTTAAAGGGTATACTTTGATAAGTTTTGACATGTATATAACTGTGAGACCACCACCACAATCCAGACCATATCATCAACCTCAAAAGTTCCCTCACACTCCTTGGGAACCTCTCTCTTTTCCCCACCCTCCTGCTCCTGCCTGCCCCAGACAACCATTGATCTGCTTTCTCCTGCTATATGTTAATTTGCATTTTTCAGAATTTTGTACAAATGGAATCATACAATATACACTCTTTTTTGTCTGGCTTCCTTCACTCAGCATAATTATTTTGTGATTGTTGCATGTATCAGTCGTTCATTCTTTTTTATTTCTGAGCAGTGTTCCATTGTATAGATGCACCACAATTTGCTCACCCATGCACCTACTGATGGACTTACACCTTACATAGACATTGAAACTGAAGTGTTTGGATTCACATCCTGGAAGTCTCGGGGCTCTGGTCAAGCTGGGCAGTCAGTCCCCGCTTTGATCACTCCCTCTGTTTCAAACAAAAGCAATGACAGATGAGAACAATCCAAAAAGAAATGGGTGAGCAGAAAAACAAGATGAGTACATCTGAAAGCCGGACAGGAAATGCACATGTCAATGAATGGGCCAAGTGGAAGTAGTGGGCCTGCTTGGCTCTGGGTCCAAGTAACAGACAGAGGCAACATTAGTGTGGAAGACAAAGGGGACTAAAATTGCTCCAGGTAAAATGGGGAGTGGAGATGTGTTCACTGCTTTAAAAGCTGAGAGGAATCTTCTCTTCCTTATGAAAGAGGCTATAAAAGAAACAATTGTGGCTGACCTCTGCTGGGGCTTAAGAAAGCTGGAGGCCTAGTTGTAGGACAGTGGGAGGATACAGACATTTTCATGGTCAGGAATGAGCCAGAACTGCTGGCTGTGAGATCAAATCTGCCACAATCTCAATATCACATGGGTCAGAAATTCTGAACTGTCATCATAATATCTGGTTCTCAGTAGGATCCTCAGATGTCCAGTGGAGGAAATCTCAGTGTTTCATGACAGAGACAGTTGAAAACAAGGAAGAAAAATAATCAAAAAGAAAAAGAAACAATTCCTTCAAAAAAACATGTAAACCAAAATCCCAAAACACACAAAGAAATATAAGGTTAAGAAAGATAGTGATTAAAGTTGCCCATCGGAATACAAACTTAATTTTGTGGAAGAAGATGAAAAATAAATGTTAAAATTATCAAAAAAATAATGAAGAAATCATTTTCATTTAAAATAGAAAAAAATTAGGAAACAAAACCAGACAAAAATGAAATAAAAACAGATGGATAGCAGAAACAACCAAGTAGAAAGTTTCAAGGAAATTAGAAAATAGTACTGAAGGATTAATGAAGGATTAATTTAGAATTTTATGCAGAAAGACTAAGACATAAAGAAACATGGAGGGGTGGGACCTCCAGAATGGCTGTGTGAGGGACTCAAACCCTCTTCCCAGCAAAACATTTAACTGGTATATATATAAAAAAAAAAATCTCTGGATTTTTAAATAAAAAGTTATAAAAATCTCGGGAAATTGATCTATATGCAATGTAGGTAAAATTACATGCAGCAAATGGAGAAACATGTATTCAAGAAAATATACTAACTGTTACTAAGAGTCTGTGGCATTTGAGCCATGACCTGCTCCCATCCTCCCCACTCTCAGCTCTATGTGCTAGAAACTGTGCTCTTGGCTGGTGTAGCCAAGAAGACACCAGGGTCTTCTCCCCTCAGTTTCCAGTGTCAGGCTCTGGTTTTACCCCAGGAGGGTAGAGCCATCAGCATCTCTTATCCCTCCCTAGCTCTGTGTTGCAGAACCTCTATTCCATGTGAGCATAGCCGAGAAGACAAGGTCTTGCTCCTCCTGCCTAGTCCCTATTTGTAGGGTGGAAGCTCTAGCTTGCTGGTAGGACAAAGATTATACACTGGGAGGAACAAGCTGAGAAGACCGGGGGCTGCCACCCCACCTCACCCCACCCCCATGCTTGCTTGTAGAGCTGGGGTGTAACTGTGGGAGAAGCAGGCTGCTGCCCCCACCCCCAGCTCTGGTGCGGCGGTGCACGGGCAGACCTTCAAGACAAAGGGTTCCACAGGGGACTAACTTTATTTGGGTTGGAGCATGGAAGAGTTCACGCCTA